CGGGCATTTTCAGCTCATGGCAACCATTACAATGAAAACAAAGGTCGCAAACTATCAGAAAACGGTACTTTGGGATGGTTGTTGAGACTTCCCTGAACAGTGTAACAAAATTACCCCTGCATGTGTAACGCATATAAATTTGATTGTTCAGGATTACTTGAAAGGTGAGTTTCTGTTGTTTTCTCGATTTTTCACCGGCTCTTCGCTCGGCGTTCCGCGTTCCTCAGCGAGTGAGTGAGTGAGTGTGTGTGTTAGTGCAGCGCGCGCAGAGCACGTCTTAGCAACGTGGAACGTCTAGTGACGTAGCTCCGCGCTAAGCGACAACTGTTGTGGTTAACGCATTCACGCCACGTTCGCAATATGGTTCGAGGTCGCTGTAAACGTGCTGTAACTCGGTCATGTATTTGCTGCGTTCATACAGAAGTTGAAGAAATGATAGTTTCACTCAACACTATAAGACGCAGCGCCCTCTAACGACGAAATGCTTCTGTGGCTTGGTTTGATGAAAGGAGCGTAGTACAAAACAACAACTGTGCTTGTACTTAAGAATGGTTTCCCATATTTTATTTATCAAAGACGACAATTCTCTCTCCACTGTCAAAAATTGTCTTTCATTTCACAGATCAACCCGACATGGGAGCCTACTGGCGGTCTTGGTACGAAGTAGATGACTTGAAAGCCGACTCTATGCGTCTCTGGGAACAACTTAGGCCATTTTATGAGCAGCTGCACGCATACGTCAGGGGGAGACTTAGTGAACATTATGGGGAGTCGTTGGTTGATCCCAAACGTCCCATACCTGCACATTTATTAGGTGGGTATGAGTTTATGGTGATATCGTTTGCTGGTTCCCGGCGTCCCTTGCGAATACAAAGTAGGATGCAGCGAAGTAGTAATCGCCATATTGTTCCACTGGGCCGGGATCCCGGTCCTGGATTCACGCGACTCAGTGACGTAATTTGGAAACATTACAGGTTCCGTTCTACGTAAACGTGTCTGTACTACTGGTCTCATGCCACTAATTAACTTAAATCAATCAATTTAAATGCCTAGCAAGAACCAATGAAATTTTTTAAATATTATTTTTCTCAGGTGCTCCCTGTTTGAGGGCGTAATCACCTGGGTCAAAGGTGAGACCAACATGTGGTCTTTTGTTTATTACTTAACGGCTGTGTACCTGTGGGTTTATTCTGTGTGTTAATGGATGTTTTAAACTTGGTGTTTTTCCAGTGATTTCTCTTGGTGCAATCCAAATTGAGCTGGCCAACATGTTAGTTTTTTTTCATATGGTTGATTACTGGCATGTTGATTTCCCATTTCTGAGCCATATTTTCAACTTTCTTCGTCATTTTCATATAGCAATCTCGTCATATGTTAACATTGTCGTCTATGGAAATTCAATTAGTGGTATGAGCCCTACTGCATTAACGCCCTGTTTATACAATTCGCCTGCTTAGACTTCATACTTACGGTGGTTCTAACATTTATCGCTATTTTTGTGCAAAGTGATAACAGACAAAAACAATTATATTCGTGCAACTTTTGAGAGCTAAAGAAAATCCTTGCTTTATATATAAAAGGACTATAAGAGTAAGCGCTGACGTCAGGTAACCAAGGGAAATAGGACAAAGAATGAGAACGCGATGGTTCAATCAGAATGCTGTAATCTTTACTAGTTACCAGCCTCTCGTGGCTTGTGCGCCATGACACCTGAGACGGGAACCACCTAAAGGTTATATCGAAGCGCGAACCGTTTAATTCTTTACTGGTCTGAAGTCGAAGTGGCTATTCTCACAGGATAAACGTGATATTGGAAAATAAAATTTATTCCATAGAGCCAGTGTAAAACAAAGAGAAAACCGGAAGTTGATGATCGGACGCGTATTTAAGCATTAGTGTCGCTAACTTTGAACTAGCAATTCTCACACTTTTGAAACAGGTCATTTATTCTCAATTGATTCCAGGTAATATGTGGGCTCAGAGTTGGGGTAATATACTGGATCTGGTTCTACCTTACCCTGGAAAGACTTCAATTGATGTCACGCCTGCTCTGGTGGATCAGGTAATTTAGACC